CAAACAACCCTGTTTTCGTTCTAGTACGTCTTATTTCATCCCCAAGCTACTAAACTCTTAATGAGCGCTTTGCTTCAACTAAATTTGGTGAAGTAGGTGGCGCTGATATCATGATTTGTTGATTACATATTAAAGATTTTCAAATATTGATTTAACTTTTACCAAACTCGGCAAAAAATAAATACACAAGATCTCACCATTTCATGTTTCGTCAAAAAAGTAACATCTAATTGTATCACAAGTTTGTACAAAAAGGCTTTGTTTATCTGAAGAGATGTTTCGATTCACTTTGAAATACTATAAACTTTCGCCAGATTTTTGAGACACCTAGTGAGTGTAACTCTTTGTACTAAGACATAAAAAAAAAACTTATGTAATATATTTAAAATTTACAAAAGTTTGTGATTTTTCTCCGGGAACCGTCTTCACATAAAATATCTTCAAATTTGTCTGTCTATAACAAAAGCACTTCTAATTAATTTAATAACACGTGATAATTGACTAATAACGTAAAGGTTAATTACATGGTCTTGTGACATAGGTTAAAGTTCACAGCATATTCCAGAAACACTGACTTACCAGCTAAAAGTGTGGGCAATATTATTCAAGTATTTAAAAGTTATTTAATGTTCTCATTATACACACTTTTATCTAATATGACAATATGTCCACTTTTATCTGCTTTAGAGATTTTGTCATCATCAGGTCATCGAATAAGTATTGAGAGGATTTATAAATTACATAATTTTCTACTGATAAGTTAAAAATTGATTTATTTTTATTTTTTAAAAGATATCTGTTTCAAAATAAAAAGTAAATCCAAAGAAAAAGTAATTCATGATATCTTCTTTCTTCAGATACTCGATGTGGGCAGAGCACAGATAGCCCATTGTGTAGCTTTGTGCTTAACTTCAAACAAACAAACAATCCTAACCATTAATATTACCGAGAATTTGCAAAGATACTAAATTAGAAATAACTTTTTTTTAGTTTATTGTTGTTGTTTTTTAATGTTAACTGTAATTCCGATTTACAACAAATAGACGAATCTAATGTTTTCACGACTTAAGTTTTCTTGTGATTTCAGGCCTTCTAATAAAAAGGGCAAATTTTAATTGTCTGACGTAGCCAAATTCCCACAGGCTATGAATCTGGGAGGTTTATGGTTTACGTTCTGGTGGCGCAAAAAACGCGCTCCGCGCTTTGGTGCCTTGGGTGCAATATAAAAGTGATGGTCATATCCCACTATACGTTCAGAAAAGAATGTCCAAGAATTTGCATTGGATACTATTAACTGGCTGCCTTCTCTCTAGTCTGTCAGTTCGAAAATGGGGACGATTATGGGCAGTTAGTCTTTGTGTAGTTTTGTCCAAAAATATTAAACAAATCTTAAAATTTGTGATTCATATATAATTTTGCTATTCAAGAATATCTGGTGTACGTTCCTTTACTTGTTCTTATTTTTTATAATACATTATTACCAGAAATCACAAGTAAAGTCAGCAGTTCCAAAAAGCAATAATAACTAATTAGGCTATCTGAATGAAAGTTGGAGGTTAAGGAACTGAAATTAAATTAAACGAATTAAATGAAACTTTTAAAAATTAGACATTAACTTACTCATCCTTCAGAACAATAATTTTATATTCCCCAGAAAAAAATCAAGAACACTCACCCATGTTTTTCAAGCAAAGATTTGAGTTCTGTATTCTCTCACAGACGAAAAAAAATCAAAAACACTCACATCCATTCTTTCTAGGTTAATATTTGAATAGCTAACGATGCGTTTTATCTTTAAGTTGACTTACCGAGTTCACTATATAAGTTTACCAAGATTTCCATCCTAACAGCCAGACAGGGAATGTTATTGCGATTGGTGAAGCTGTCTTCATGGTGTTCCCAAAAGTCAGTTGCCATAGGCTGAACACATTTACTGAATATTTTTAAACAAATTACCCTTGAATTGATACAGTACTGAAGATGTTCAATACATGCCACCTCTGCACATTCATCAATGTTCAGTACCGTTGTCTAAGAAATTTGTAACAACAACAAAAACAAGACAGTAAACGTCAATTTCTTCACTGCTACAATGGCAACCGACTTTTGGAATAGCCTGTAATGCATTACTTATTAAACACAAGTAAGTTAACTAATGTATATTTTTGTATATAACGCAACCCTATTTAGTACTTATTTATACAACACATTAAGGACATAGCTTCCAATATATCGTTATTTTGAAGTCTTTTCGAATTTACCATTAAAATAGCGAATAAAATGTTTCCAAGTTTATCGTTGTGTTGTACCATACTGTATAGATCGCCACAACTAAAAAAAAATTATGAAGATAAAACCAAGTTACTCGCCATTAAGTACCCCGCAATTTATCAACTAATAAAAAAAGTGTGTGATAAGTATGAAACTTTTTTTTTTCAGGTGTCACCATTCTTCTTTCCCTTACAGTCTTCATGTTGCAGTTGGCTCAAACACTTCCTCCAACATCAGACGCAGTATCAATTATTGGTAAGATATCTCCTTGTTCAAATACTTCCAGCAGTTCGAGACGTTTCCCAGAATTCCTTAAAGATTATAGAATTTCAAGGCAGTAATAGGCTTAAGGACGTTTTTGTGAGAGATCGAAAAACAAAACTGAATTTCATTAATCTGAAGTCAGGATTATTTCCAATTGATATTTATACACAACTTAAAAGCGTTGTAGATCGGGAAATATTGTTTATAATTTGAATTAGGTTTATTAATATTATTAAAATTCATTATGACCCAGCTTGTTGGCCAGTGTTTGTTTAGGAAATATTATCGCACAGCTAAAGTGTGTATTTACACCTCATTGGGTAAACAGATTATTTATTACTGATTTCTGTATGCGATGCTTCCCCTCTTTTTTTATCTGAGAGAATATGGGAATTTATTTTATTGAAATATTGTTGTAATTTTCAACTTTTACAACCCAAATAAATCTATTTTAATTATTAATGTATGTATATTTTTGCATCAAATATTTAGGTAAACAGGAAGTTTAAAAAGTCTTAACTAAACACTTGTGCTCAATGAAAATAGAAATGCACTGAAGTAAATGAAATATTATCTCATTATTGTTTATTAAGAGTTTCAATTACGTTTACCTGTTTCGATGCATTAGTATTTTGAACATTTATCAGACTAGTACAGTGGTTCTTAAGCTTTGTAGGCACAGCTCCCATTCTTCTTGTCTTTGGTACTTAACACTCACAACCATATGTCCCAAAACGTACGCACAAATTCACCGTGCCACGATAACTAAATATTAAAAATGAAATGAACTATCGTTTCAAACTGGCCTGCGTGTAAGTACGCAATAACGTAAATTTTATGAGAAATATGTTTTACCTATTAGTAAAGATGTGTGCGATTTTTTTTCGTAATCTTCTCCACCCATCTCCCCCAATTTCACGTCAACTCGGGGGGGGGGGAGAGGCATGTCTCTCAGTTTGAGAACACTGGCCTAGTAGTTTCGGCTCGAAGAACCCAGGATTCGAGACGTGCTGCGACCGAACAAGCTCCTCAGTTTCCGCTGTGGGCACTTTATAAAAAGTAATAATCAATCTCATTATTTGGTCATAAACAAGATAAACCCCGTTGTTCAAAAATAGGGACAGCTATACTGAACCGTAAAGGTCTGTGACTTGGTTGTTTACCTCATGTCCCGTTCAGGTTGTAAAAACTAAACCTTTGACTTTCACCAGAAGAAACTAGGCAAAGACATATTATTTTAATAGCCATATGAATAAACTTATAAATCCTGTGCCTACACCACCAAGAACGAATTTGGACTAACACTAGTTTTGGATATATATATATATATGTGTATAAACATAACCACTTACAATATTCAGGTTAATTCAATACTCTACAGTGATGCATTAAATGTATTAAACCAGATAAGGGTATGGTTATCATATGTTATCTAGATGGTGGCGATACGGAATAGAAATATTAACATAAAATTTATGTAAATCACGTAAAATCTTTGCCATTCGCTAAACAGCAGTGGAGAAAAGGTTATACTATCAGGAAAAGCTAAAGTAGATGAAAATACAAAATGTGGGTTTTTACGTATTAGGAAATGACATGTGTATTTTGCTTTTATTTTTCTAGGGACCTACTTTGCCTGCACCATGATCATGGTAGCTTTTTCCGTGGTAATGACGGTCGTTGTTCTTAACTACCATCACCGTAACTCTGATACTCATGAGATGCCGCAATGTGTAAGTACGATATTATCATTAATATTAACTTCAAATCAGGGCAATCTATCTACTCGTATCAAAAGTACAGTTTTCTTACGTTCCTACAAAACATTAGATTGTATTATTTCATCAATTACGTACCCTCGCTGTTAATGATATTTTCGGCCATAAACCTAATAATATCTTTCGAGGTTCTGCCAGCTTAGCAATTTAGGTTAGTCTCAAATCCACATATTGAATTAAGAATACGAAACAATATGTGTAATAAAGTGTTAATAATAAAAAAATAAAAGTAATAAGGCTAGATATACTAAACATTATAACCAATGTTATTAATGAAAATAACATTACAGAAAGAGTATATCTTGCTGACAGAACACACAAACACTACTTATTAGCTTCAACTATTGTCTTAGATTTAACGTTCGTTGAACAACGTAATCAGTCTGATCGCGTATAAGCAAAAATTTCCACAATCCTCCCTAAAATTGAAAACCTATTAAACAACCCCGATAGTGTGACTTTAGAAAAGCCTATCATTTAAGATATATTACTACGTTACGTGTTACTGTTTACGTGTAGAATCAAATAGCATGAAAGTACCAAAAATACAATCAAAAAGTAATGTTTATTGAGATAAAAATTTAAAATTAATAATAAAACAGTAAAACATAACCATGTTAAATGTAATAGAAAGAAAAGCAGTATATTAAACATACTATGGGATGTGTCTAAATACAACCAATCCGACTTTAACTAACTTCTTTTACTTAACAAAACACATGTAACAGGAAGTAATAAATAAAGATAAATCTTCTGTTTGTTTTGTTTGTAGTTAAGCACAAAGATACACAAGGGCTATTTGTGCTCTGCCCAACACGCGTATCGAAACCCAGTTTCAAGCGTTGTAAGTCCGCAGACATGCCGCCGTGCCACTGGGGGAGGGGGGCTAAATCTTCTCTAACCACTAAATAATAAACGTCAGAAGATTGGAGAAAGATTAACAGTAATAATAATAGGTTTGTTTGTTTGTAATTAAGCACAAAGCTACACAATGGGCTTAATGCTGTTAAATATTACACAAAACAACTTCTAAAGCCCCCCCCCCCCAGTGGCACAACGGTATGTCTGCGGACTTACAGCATTAGAAACCTGGTTACAATACCCATGGTGGGCAGAGCACAGGTAGCCCGTTGTGTAGCTTTGTGCTTAACTTCAAACAATCTATTTCTAAAAATTTAAGGTGAAGATATGACATTTGATATTTGTAAAACTTTTAAATGCACAGTTAGTAGCAAGAATATTCGTGACGAATGACTTTTGTATTCAAATTGCGACTGGATAAACCTCGTTTGTTAAAAATGCAAGTGGATTTACAAGTTTTGTTCACGAATACTTGTATCTAATAAGCTGTGATACAGTTTTTTTCTCTGATACATAATGATAGCCATTATTTTCATAACTTACCACTACTTACACTTCCAACTTGGAACGTTTTCTTTAAATAATCATGGCCAGGTGGTTAGGGCATTCGACTCGCAATCTGCGGTCACGGGTTCGAATCCCCGTCCCACCAAACATGTTCGCCCTTTCAGCCGTGGGGGCGTTATAATGTGACGGTAAAAGAGTAGCCCAAGAGTTGGCGGTGGGTGGTGATGACTAGCTGCCTGCCCTCTAGTCTTACACTGTTAAATTAGGGACGGCTATCTCAGATAGCCCTCGTGTAGCTTTGCGCGAAATTCAAAACAAACAAACAATTCTTTAAAGAAAAACAGATGAGGTGAAAATTTCCGCAAAACGCAGGTTGCGAAAATGTTACACCATAATAAATCAAAGGAAAAGAAACAAACAGGTCAACAAACGATACAAATCATTATTCGCAGTTATGTGTAGTGTGTCATGAACCACGATAGTGGTTCATAATAGGTATCGCCCAGGAATTTCACAAAAGTTCTAGTAGAACATGAAGGCAAAAACAATTTTAAAAAGCAGACTTGTTCTTGAAACAACACTCAATACCTTCTATCTCAATGGCTAAGGCTGCTCAAATGTTGATAATAGCAAAAAAGTTGATTTTCCGATTGTAAGACAAAAATCAAAATTCATCTATTTTTTTCTTCACATTATTCTTGTTTCACAAGACTACAGAATAAACGGCAATGAATATTTTATTCATACTTGGCAAACATACTAAAAAAACTCCTGCATAGGTCATAGAACTATTTTTATGACGATTCTTGAAAGAGAAGGAGAGATTTTATCAGTTTTGTTTCATAGCTACTAGTCAAGTTTCTCTTCGAGGCCATATAAGCACCTAAGCCTACAGCAAAAACGATACTGTGCCAAAATCTATGCATAGCTACTAAACAAACTCCTGTGAAGATTGTAGGGCTATTTTTTAGTTGATTTTTGAGAGTCGAGATTTCCACCCTCAAAATTTTCTAAGTTCTTCTTCGCTACCAACATAAGCTATTCAAGCATCACATAAATGTAGAAGCCATTTAAGCGCCATTTGGAGCCATTTTATACTAGTAGAAAACGCTTTGTTATATTAGAGAAAACAATGCATATTTATAACAGTATATCCAGCCTTATTATTATTAATTATACTTTTATAAGCCGCTACAGAAAAAACAGCTACGAATATTTTATTGAAGCCTAGATGATAAGAATGCAGTATTGAGTGTGTCATAGGGTAGTTTTAAAATTAATTCAAGCGCCCTCTTTTTTCGCCCTGAAGAATTTATTTAGGTCTTTCCGCCAGTTAAAAAAAATCCAATGTTTTACTAATACACATTAATTGGAAAATAATATGTGCAACTTATAGTGCATTAATTGGAGTCTACCACGTTGAGGATTCATCATTTCTCGATTCGCTGTTGTACTTTATCTCTACGTGGTTTTCTGCGACTATTTCAGTGAGTTTTCTAACAGTACACGATCACCATAGTAGATTTATCTACTCTTGTGAGTAGTGATTTATTCTACTGATTTTCGTACTTCGCTGAAATTGTGAGAATTGTAGTACTATTTTTGTTATTATCATTGATATTTTTGTTTCACAAGCCTACAGCAAAATTGGCTGGATATCTTGTATCAAAACCTAGACAGATGTACTATATGAAATGCTGCGAATGTCCATGACCAATTTAGAAAGTTGATTATTTTTCATTGAAAGTTGATTTATTTGACTATATATTCGATGTTTTGTGAGCAGCTTCCTTTGTACCCGACGTTTGTTAAACGCATGTTTGTACAAAACCTTAGGCACAAAATCACCTGGCTCAATAAATAATGGTTGGGTGAGAAAAAGTCCAATGCAGCAGTAAACTGTTGAAAAACATGTAACATTCAACAGAACGCATATGCACGTATGTAGCTTAAAATTTCATTTCCATAAATGGACATAAAAAACATAAGAAACAAAGTAATTACAAATTGTTAATTCAAAAGAGGAATAAGGATCGTCAAAAAAGTACAGAAACAAGTTGAATCAAATTGAAAAGATTATATTTTCAAGTCTACAACTAGGGACTCTAAACAAAGTAAAGAAACTAGGCTGGAAATAGTGTCTATATTATTTTCTCAAACTACAAAGCCCTATTTTGACTCCACTAAAATTGATAAGTACTGTAGACATGGGGTTAAAATAGGGATTTATAGCTTCAGAAAGTAATGTAGACACTGTTTCGATTAACATTTTTTAATTATCTTGTTTTATCTACTAGCCAGTTTGTAACGTTCTGCAATGACTTCAATGACAGCTTGGGCTGAAGAATTATTTCCAAACATATCCGTACAGGAGTTATATTTGAAACTCATGCAAAGAGTTCAAATATGGTACCCCATAATCAATGGATTAACTATATCACTTTCTATTCCAAATAACATATTCAAAGGTGGGAACCCCAACTCATGACATTTTGTACAAATATCTATGTCACCCCGTAAGATGAGCTTCTTCAGCCCATGGAGTTGACACAGACACAGATATAACTTAATGCAGATTGTATAAAATAAGCATTGCCGAATGCAACCTTTATTTAAGTAAAAGGTTTGGAACATGTTACGACTTTTCGGCATTCGGTTAAAAACAATATCACAGCTACATGCAGAACATCTGCAGTGAAATTTAGAAACAAAATTACCTGAAGCCGTTTGTACTAGAGATGTATTCTAAACTCGTTATAAAAGGTTTAAATTACCAGTTATTTCGAGTGTCACAACCTTTTTTTTTGTATGTGATTTTTGTGGCAAAATTTATTTTCTTGCATAAATACTTTCTACTAAATATTTAAAAAAATACACTAACATATAGAGAGACTGAAGTATATTATACCATTTTTACATGCTAATTAGTAGCAAGAAATGTATTTTGTTTCTTCTTCTTCTTTTTTTTTCATGCCAAAACAATTATGCTCCACATTTGTGCATTATGAAAACGACTGTCAAACCTCACTATTCGATTAGAATAATCCATGTGTTGGCGGTGGGCGCTGATGACTAGTTGCCTTCCCTCTAGCCTATTACTTCAAACTTAGGGACGTATATCCCTCGGGTAGCTTTGCGCAAAATTAAACAACAATCTTCATTTCATAAAACAAATAATTTCGAAGCATGAACAGATTTTTCCTATTTTCATCAAATGGGGTATTTGATTTTTGACATGGCACTACAATATGCGATGGAACATATTTGAATTTGGGGGGTGTTGACGATTGGAAGCATCTTACTTGCTGCATTAACCATTTAATTCAAAACTGAAACAACGAAATTCCATGAGAGGTATACACAAATCTCTTTTTCCCCCATTCAAAAGGACACTTCGCTACCAGTCAAAATTGGGAGTCACGTGCTATTGATTCCATCACTTCTGGACACTATCTTGAAACAAGAAATGTATACTTATTTATAAAAGCTTTTCAGATATCCCAGAATTAAAATGTTCTTATTTATTTCCTAGATTTTTCTACTATTTGTGTTCCTAGTGGTAAGAATAAAACAGATTCAGTGGCGTA